GAGTGCTGGATTGCCCTCATAAATTGAAGGATCATTGAAGGTTTGGAACTGGTTGGTTGTTGGGATTTGTCCTGACAAGTTATTGTATGACAAGTTCAGGTGATTCAGAAATGTAAGAGAAGACATGGATGCTGGAATTGGGCCAGAAAGCTTGTTTCTTGACAAGTCAAGGGTTTCTAATTGTTTCAAGTCACCTATTTGTCTAGGTATTGTCCCTGTAAAATGATTCATGGACAGGTTTAATGTCCCCAATTCCAAAAGCCTTGTAAGCCCTACCGGTAAGTCTCCTGATAGATTGTTGCTTGACAGATCTAGACTGTTGACGAGGAAAAGAGTATTCATATATTCTAATTGTCTTCCCTTTGTCACCACACTCATTTGTCCCTCATATCTCTCCGTGATGTTATCTAGTGCGAAACTCATGCCACTCAAGTTCCCTATGCATGGAGGAATAAACCCGGATAGATTGTTGTGTGAAAGGTCCAATAAGTGTAGAGTTGAAAGGCCACAGATGTCAGAAGGGATTTTTCCAACAAGTGAGTTGGATCGCAAGCGTAAAGTCAACAAAGATGTCATGCTTTTTGCAATCCAAGATGGAAGGTTTCCTGATAGTCTGTTCTCACCAAGATCAAGACTGTCCATGAGAGTGCAGTTCTGTAAGGTAGGAGGTATTCGGCCAGACAGATTGTTCTCATTCAGTATCAAGAATTTGAGGAAGCTAAGAGAACCTATTGACCTTGGAATTGGACCAGAAAGACTATTGTTGGACATATCTATTATCCATAACATGCTTAGATGGCTAAAAAACTCAGGAATTTCACCGGACAGATTGTTGTTTGAGATAACCAAGGTTACCAGTTCTATTAGATTGCCTATGGACAAGGGAATTCTACCATCTAAAGAGTTCCTAGAGACATCTAAATCAGTCAGAGAGGGCATTACTTCACCAATGTCACCCGGGATGGCTCCAGAAAAGAGATTATCATTCAAATACAGCTTGGTAACATTGGATGGCCAGAGTGGGAGGGCACCAACGAAGAGATTTGAACTCAAATCAACAGTTGAAGACTCTCGGAAGCTTAAGGAGTTTGGTACCTTTCCACTGAGCTGATTAGAACCAACATCTAGCTCATCTACCTGCAAATTCAACCCCCAAAACCAATCTGGAAAGGTGTCGGAGATCCTACAATTATTGAGCACCAACGTGACCAGTTCAGTCTGATTCCTGAGCCATGTAGGAAATTTGGGTCCCAACTGACTTGATCTAATATAAATGTACCTGAGTTTAAAAGGAGGAAGCCAATCTGAACTGAAGTTGAAAACCAGAGAAACATTTAGGGAGTTTTGGTTGAAATTTAACTCTTTAAGGCTTGAGAGATTCACAAAGTGAGTTTCAGTGACGACACCTTCCCAAGGGTTCTCAGAGAGATCCAAATATACCAGTGCTGAGAGTAGCCCCAAACTTTCTGTAAGACCATTCATTTTATTATCCCCAAGATAGAACTGCTCCAATGATGACAAATTTCCAATTGATGCTGGAATTGAACCTTGAAATGAGTTATGCCAAAGTTGAAGGTTTCTCAAGTTCTTGAGATATCCCAAGGAACTAGGGAGCTTGCCAGTAAATTCGTTGTATCCCAAATCCAATGTCTCTAAGCTGCTGCTATTGCATCTGGATAAACCATCAATGAAGTCGATTATTTCCCCACTAACATCATTGGCAGAAAGGATCAGTGTATGCAAATTGCACAACTTCCTCATACTTTTCATGCTTTCAAATGCTGGAAGTTGACCTTCGAGATTGTTGGAGCTGAGATCAAGATATTTAAGGCTGCTGATGTTGAATAACCAATATGGGATTGCGGAGTTGAAGCCATTATTGGAGAGGTCAAGAACCTGAAGAGATGTGAAGTTAATGAACGGAAAAGTGCTGGGTAGATTGGAAAGTCTACAGCTGGGCAGATGCAACTCCTTAAGAGAAGGCAGCACATTAACAGCTTCAAGCCAATATCCTGAGGCCTTGATCAGATCAAAACCTTTCAAATTGAGATATTTCAAAGAAGAAAGATGGGAAAGCCATCTGAGATCACTTTCATTTGATTCACCAAGATCGTTGTCAAGATCGAGAAAATTCAAGTTTGAGAGGTTTCCAAAACTAGGAGGTATAACTCCACTAAGAGATGCACCAGAAAGGTTGAGATACTTCAACTTTCTTAGTGATCCAATGAAGTCAGGAATAGGGATACCTCCAAAATTATTCCCGCTCAAGTCCAAGTAATTCAGATCATTCAAGTGAAGAAGAGAAGGCTTGATCTCACCACCCAATGCATCCATAGCTCCATTGCCTTCAAGGTCATCTGCATTTGAGTTCCGGAGGTTGAGCATGAAAACATGACCGGTTCTGTTGTTGCAGCTCACTCCTGTCCATTTGCAACAATCTTTTCCAACCCAGGATGAGAGCTGATTGGAAGGATCTGTCAGACCGCCTTTGAACTCGATGAGTGCTTCCCTCTCAGATGGAATGCAATTGACATTAACATCACTCTGGCAAAAAGCAAAGCTGATGGTTTTGGGGTGCAAAATCCTTGAAACCAGCAGCACAATAGAAAGAAGCTCAATGGAAGAAACCGAATGACCCATTTCTATGATGTAAGAAGCGATTGTATAGAATTCTAGTTGATTCACCAAGCAAGGACGAAGCAAATAATTTATAGAGGATTCTGAAGCTGAACTTTCTGCATATTCACTACGTCAGGACGTTAACATTAGCTGTCTTGCATGTGTTTGCCATTCAACGCGTTTGCCTTCCTTGACTAAATTGTGATCCGTATCACGGCAACAAATCCGGTCATCAATTCCAGCAATCCTCGCTCGTGAATTACGGTAACACAATCCCCGCTCGTGAATGACAGCAACAAGACTCAATCTTGGCAACTATATATTCTGCATTATAGCAGCATATCAGTTACAAATTATAGCAGCATATCAGTTACTGTTTTAAATCATATATACTCCATTATTGTATATATCTTTA